TGAGGCGCTTAGGGACATGGTTTGGTGGGCATGGTGGTGTTGGATCGACGGTTGGACTCAATGATCTTAGAGGTCTTTTCCAACCTTAATGATTCTATGATTCTAAGTAAAGTTTTATACGTGTGTGGTTAATGTAATTAGAAAACAAGATAGAACTTTACTTTGTGACATAATGAAATGCAGTTCCTGTTTGGCTTGATCTCGTAAAATCTAGGTTATACAGAACTATTTCTAACTAATGTCTGTTTTACTTTTCAAAATGTTGGACAGCCGGATATGAGCTTTGGTTTGGTTACCTTTTGGGTTTTTTGGGGTTTTTTTAGCCTCCAATTCACAGTGTTCTGGGATTGGAATTAGTGTGAGATAAATGTAAGAACTGTAGCATAAAAAGTAAATACTGTATACTAGGTTTTGCTACTATGAAAGAGTATGAAGTTATTCATTTAGTTTTAGACCAACACATTAAAAACATGTTAGTGTATTAATACCTACTAATTAATGTATTACCCTAATAAAGTTTGGCAAATGGTAATTTATCTGTTCAGTATGACCATATATACTTACCTTAAATATCATGATTTCTATAAAGGATACAAGACCCCATGCTTCAGCGTCTGATTTAAAGATGTGTGGATTAAATGAACTGACCTTTTGGGAAGACTGTGATGTGGTCTCGTTCATTATCTTCCAAAAAGTATGATTTTGATACCGATAGAAACAAGATCTTTAATTACTTGAACTAAAGCAGCTGATTGCATTCTGCGATGTTACTATCCAAATGCTCCTCGGTCTCCTACATATAGTATGGATAGGAGAACGAGTGGCTTTATTCACGTTGTCTGCTGTTGAAACCTTAGGTGATGGAAATACTTCGAAGAGAGCCAGAAAGCCACGAGAGATTGCCTTATGCTTTTGTGGCCAGCTCAACAAGAGAAAGAAAACTCTGAACAGTACTGGTTATATCTTGTGAGAAAAATTAAATCGGTAATACTGCCGGTGTAGAACTGAAGACCGTTGCTTAAAGAGAGCACTAACACAAACTTGTACTATATTTTATCATACTGTATATTTTCATAAACAAGTTCTTTTTTACAGTGTGTTTTTTAGAACTTAAGACAAATGTTCATGGAAAGAAACTTTTTCCATAGAAGTGGATTTAAAAATCTTCCCCAAAATCTTGCCAGTTCTCCAGCATTTCCAAGGAACAGACAGAATTTTTGTAATTACAATCAGCAGAGATGTAAATAACAAGATTCAAAGCAAACTTTCATTATGAAGAGAGAAACAAGTTTTGATTTCTTCTAAATAAGCACCTTGCAAATCAGAGTGATGGATGAACCAGTCTCAGAGGTGAAAGCTGTTTTGAGGAATTACACTGCTTTACATCCTCTCTCATCAGTAGGCAATCGCTATGCTTAACTTTTCTTGAAACTCTGCAGTTTATCAAATCAGATTGCAGTAGAAGTAAGTAGTTAATCAACAAGCCGTTTCTCAGATTACCAAAATCTACGCTTTATCAAAGCAAAGCCTTGAAACATAGTTAAGTCTCTTGACACCAACAACTGTGAGAGTCTCTGCCATGTCTGGTTGGCTAGAAAAAGTGATCACACCTACCGCTATTGTATTACCAAAGAACAAAAAATGGCAGCATGAAAATGAGTCTGAATGGAAGCAGGGGTTAGGTCTGTTCACATGTTGTGTGGTACTTCAGAGGGTTGTGACAAAGGTGTACCCTTTCAAAGCTTGTTGTTCTCTAATGTTTTAGGAATCCTCACTGTAAAAGCTTGAAATGAAGAACCACCATGCCGCTTTATTAGACTCAGAAAATGTTACATGCTTAGCTTTCTTCTGACCTTCTTTACAAGAAAAATCGTGTCGTATAAACTTAACAAAAACACCATAAAGACTTACTTAAAACATTTAAACATGTTGATGATTGAAAATACTCTGCAGAAGGTTTTGTAGACATCGCAACAATAAGTTGTGATGCTGTAGAGGCTTTTAATAAGTGAGCAAATGCTGTAAGAGAGACGTGCAAACAAATTTGATATGTTTCAGTGCACAGTTAAATTCGGACAGTTAAATAGCAGCGCATTCAGTGAGTGGCTAACTTCCCACTATAACAAAGACATGCTCTTTTGGGTCATGTATCTAAGCCGAGGTAATTTGTTAATTTTTAAAGCAGGTTACCCTGTTGCCTGGATTCTTCTGACTCTATAGATCTCTTGCTCAGTCTCGAATTAGAATGGTTGAGTCTCTTCAATTAATACCCCGCCCCGACCAAACTTTTTAGGAAAAAGGAGGGGCCTTTAGTTAACACCACTAAGTACCAGAACTATGCTATAGCCTGGTTTTTATTCTTTACTCCACTTCTTGCTTAGCAAACAAGATAACCAGTTGAGAGGACCTAAATTATACCCGGCTTATCCATGATGCTCTGTATTCTTCTGTGACTTCGATGTTTCTCTAAGCTTAACACTGAGGTCAAACAGGAATACATTTTGGAGTACTAGAGTGGTATAGATGATTTTTACCATCATAGTCTGGTCTTGTCTAATGTCTCTGCTAATGAGTTCCCAGTTTCTTTCAAGTCAAGCTGTAGTTACGAGTACAGTGATTTCTTTTTAATGAAGAGATGAAGCATAAATGTGAAAGACTAAACAATTTCTGTGGATAATTTTATCACCTGTGAGAATTTTATCAAGTTGTTAGTTTTTTGCTAAAAATCCATTTGTACAATCTGTTGTTATTCAGAAGTTGATCAATTACTGAGGACTCTGCGGGCAGTGAGATTCCAATGGAAAAAGAACAAACGTTGTCCTAGAGCCTGTCACCTTAGTGGTGTTTTGAGTCATCAGTTCTCATGGGTTTGGGAGCACGGTAGGGAATGGCATGGTCCTTGACACCAGTAGCTAACCTCTGGGACCTCCCTTTTAAAGGGCAGTGTTTTACAGAAGTTGAGGAAGGTGGGCATTTTCCGCTATGAATAAAGCGTTACCGCTAGCTATTTCATTGCTTCTCAAGTTTTTACAGCAGCTCAAAAACTATTTGGAAAACTTGTTTGTACAGAGGCTGTGAGTGGTTTTGTGAATTGCTGGGCTAGCTGTGGTCAACAAAGCCATCGTAAGAAAAAAGGGCAATGTTAGATTAACTTTAGGGTCTACGTATTTAACAAACTCCTTGGAAAACCGAACTCTCAGAAATTTCTTTTTAAACTACAGTACTGTGATTTAACTGGTAGGATTGCTTAGTATTTTTTAGTGTAAATTCTCATATAATAATTTGTCTTCTAGAAAAATATTACCGGTAAGATTTTGTTTTTGTTTTTTTAAATTTTATAGGTGGTCATAGATATGAAATCTTTAAAAGGAGATTTTTACAAGGAAAATCAGTCCCCCATTACGCAGCAATAGAGCCGAGTGGGGATGGTCTAATGATTGTTTCCTACAAACCCTTCAAATTTGTACGAGATGAAGACGACCAATTAGAAGAAAATGATGATGCAAAAGCAACAACTGAAACGAAAGGTAAGACTTACCTGGCAGATTATGATAGGCTACTCTCTCTTTTGGCTTAAAAAATAGCTTGTCAGTTTAGCATCTGTTTGGAAATTCTAGCAGTAAATGTTTGTCTTAATGTCTATCTCCAGATTTTCTTTTTTTTTTTTTTTTTTTTAAGGACAGATTGGCTTTTTTTGTGTGTTTTCACCCTGGGAAGTTGTATTGTGCATAAACCTATTTGAGAAGCTTTTTTGGATAGGAGACACTTAAAGAATTTTGTTGTCCTTAAGGAAAATGATATTTTGTAAACAGAACTATACGAAGTATTTGCTAGCAGTTGAATTGCTAAGGTACCACCTAAATTTAGGCATCTGGCTGACATACTCAAATTAAGAAGCCAGTCTTCCTTCCTAGATGAGAGAGGGCAGTGTGGCACCCATTGACTCCCCCAAATAGTTTTTCATCAGAAAGCTCTCTGATATGTAATTTACTCTTGCCTTTCTAAATTAAAAAAAAAAAATAAACCAAAACTTTTTAAAGAATGAGAATCCTGTAAAAGATTGTCTTTTCTCCAGTGGGAAAGCAGTTCAGAAAAAATAATGAACTTCAACAAAAGGCATCCGTACTTTTTTTTTCTTTTAGATCAAAACAAAATTAGGCATGTAAGAACCTATTAATAAAGTTGTTTTATCTTAAATATCACTGAGCTCTGTAATGTGTATGTTTATGAAGTTATATTTCATTGTTTCAGGTTTGATTTTTGCTTCTGAATATGAGACATTAGTTAATGAATGAATCCTACCTGAATGATCCTTGCACAATCTTTGTCCATGGCACAAAAATCTGTTTGGGAAACAATACAGAAAGATCCATTTTCTGGAATGTATTAATGTTATACACTGTGAAAACTGAGACGTTGTAAATGTAATTGTATTAAGAATAGTCTGTTTGTATAAATCTTGAGGCAAAGGAGTTCTTCAGTGCACTGAGCACCATAATGCAATGTCTATGCAGTTGTCACCTGAATTAGCTAGTTCAATGTTTTAAGGATTTTAAAAGCTTCTTGAGTTGTGTGTTCGGTGTGATTAAAGAAACACAGTAAATAGCACTATATGGCTCTTAGGATAGCTCATTTCATGCATGTATGTGCACATATGCTGTTGCCAAAGCTCAGAAATCTGTAATGTGTGGAGTACTGTTTGCAGCAATACCTTGAGAAAACTCTCATGGCACAAAAATCTAATGGTAGAGAAAGTACTGACACCTGAATTCCTAGTTTAGAGGGAAGTCTCCTCTTTAAGAGAGACTTTGTCTTTTGCTAAACTTAACGTAGGCTATAATTTTAGTTGCATGGTTATATAAAATTGCAGGCATAATAGGTATCAGATAATGAAACAAGATGTGCCAGCAACAGAACTCTATTTTTTAATAGGAATTTACAAAATAGATAAAGAAACATTAAGGTGGTTATGTTGCACATTGGTATTTTGGGTTTTAGTTTGCTCTTTCATAGTCTTCTCTACATGTTTTTGACAGCTTATGAGAAGGCTGTCTTGAAGACAGGGGAGGGGGGAAGGCTAAGCTACTTTTTTGGTGTCATTCAGTTTTCTTACAAATTAAGACTTCCACTATTAGATACAGTCTGTCTCAAGTTTAGAATTTTGAAGGCTGTCATATCTCAGATACTAATAGTTTCTGGGAAGTATATTTGTAGCACCTGTGACTGTTCCATTGCAAACAGGAAATCCATGATAACAGACAACAGTGTAAGAGCCCCTCCAGAGTCACAGTTGCTGACATGAAGCTTAGATCAACTAAACCTTGTATTGTGTTGTGACAGGTTGAGAGCTTCCAAAGGCTCTATCCACACTTTACTTTTCCTCCAAATAGGAAGGTAACATGTACAAGACTACTCTTCAGAAAATGAATGCATCTCTATTTGTGTTTTCTGTGACCAACTGTGCACTACCCAATCATGCTCTCACAGCCTTCCTTTTGTATAAACATTTCTCTTAAAAGGCCACTTCTTGTAGCAGTTTAATAATCAAGATAGACATCAGGCAGATTCTAGACCCAGGAGCAAAAGTCAAGCATTACCCCCGGGCAGGCAGTTTTATCTCATCTCCATCAACTGAGGCAGATGAAGACTACTTGGTCTTCTAAAATCATTTCTATTGAATAGTCAGCGTAGCTTCTGGCAAAATAGGTAAGAAAAAAATGTTCACATCTCGGAATGGCATATACTTCTGAGCATGCAGTAGCTTGTCAGTACCACTGCACCTGATGTCTCTTCAACCAAATTATTAATCATTAATGTTTCAGTAAATTTAAGTACATTTTGGTTATCAATTTTGTATGCTACAATAAACTTAGACTAATAGTGCCTACTGTATAACTCTATCGGCATATTTGAGTATAGACATGAATATAAATTGCTCTCCAGACGAGGGACACAAATGAACTTGATTGCTAAAAAATGTTTCTCCATTTTGTAATCAGAATATATTTTATGTAAAGTGTTCAAGGTGAAAGTTAATTTCCAGTCTTCCACAAACTTCTATTCTGTATCTCCCAGCACTGCATGCCGTGGAATCCAGGACAGCATTTGTAATCTAGTTTGTATTTTTCTGCATGTTTGCAATTGTAGACCCTCTCTATTACTGGCAGCAGACTGAAGATGATGTGACAGTAACAGTTCACATTCCTCAAGACATCACTAAGGATGACATAAAAGTACGCTTTTCCCCTGACAACATATGTGTTACCCTGAAAGACCAGCCTCCTTTGGTGGAAGGAAAACTCTATTCATCTGTGGACCATGAAAGCTGCACATGGATAATTAGAGAGAACAAAAGGTATTGTATATGGTTTTTAGTGTTCCTATTGGTAGGAATTTATTTCAAAGTGTATGCCATATTTCTGACTTCTGGCCACTCTGGGAATGCACTCATTTAATGCTACACCCTGCATCCCTCCTTACAAGAATCTATCTCCTCTGCTGAAAATAGTTCACTGGCTTTTGCAATACTATCTCACAATACTCTATCTAATTGTGAAAGTAATCCCCTCCTCTTACAGTTACTTGCTTATGAGCTACATGACTAGCTATTTTCTACAACAACATAGAACAGCCCTTCCAAAATAATAAATTATTTTTTTTCTTTTTCAGAAAAAAAAGGCACTATGTCTGTACTGACAGCTATACCTGTATCAGACCAGGAAATTAAGAGTTTCTACTACTGAGCTGTGAAGCAGAGTTCTTTGCAACACTAGGCTACATTGATGCTCATAATGTTAACCTCCTCGCACTATGTTCACATGTTTTGAGTGTGTTTATTGGCAGCCAGAGTTAATGTCCTGTTCTAATGTTGTCAGTTGCCTTTCTAAAACAGTATTTGGTGATATGAGCTACTGGAGATTAACCCATGCATGTCTGTATGACCACCTGTCTGTATGACTGCCTGTTTTTTTTATTCTCTTTGAGAATAATCTTGTCCATTCACTTCTAGTTGATCTCAGTAGAAGAGTGAATAGGTGAACTGTTAAATGATTTTCATAAAGACAGCGTATCATATTTTGAAGTACTAAAGAAAGACTTTATTTTTTTCCAAATAGCCAGGAAAAAAACCAGCTATCAAAATGTTAAAAATAGCTTTGTAAGCAAAGTTAACTTAATTGATTGAACAATTTTTTTTTTCACTAAATTTTAGGATTGATTAGCCTACTTTTACCCTGTTGTTTGTGTTAATAATTTCTCTTCTACTTCTGCTTTCCACAAACAGAAGCTTTTTTGGTAATAATGTAACAGAAATTCACCAGATCTGACTTATAAATTCCTTATTATATATTTCCTAATTCATTGTACATTATGTACATAATATAAAATTAATCTGTGTGAACTTAACATGCTGTAGACCTGAAATAGAAATGTTCATGGTTTTGCTTGAGAAGTAAATTTTAGTTGTCTCTTTCTTTCTGAAATAAAAACACCAAGGAATGGAGAGGGAAAAAAAAAATAATTCAGAGCTCCCTAAACCAGAGTCAAATTTGCTTTTTTTTTTTTTTTCAAAACCTGTTAGTTCTAGAATTTTAGTTCTCTGGTACAGAATGGCAACCTAATTCTGGACATCTAATTTTGGTTGCTACATAGACTCTACATCATTAGTAGAGCCTCCAGAGGGCCCTTCAGAGCCCTAAACTGATCTCGGTGACAAGAAGTGTTCAACCATTGGTTTAGGGTTTTTTGTGGGTGCAAATTGTCTACAACGTTTGCATTTGCATCAGTAAAAATGCTTCATATCTGGAAGGTGACTTATACATACTTATGTATTCAGATTTATTTCCACATGTGTTTCTGCACATGTAAAAGCGAATGTGAAATCCCTATATATTTGGAAATGTACCCTTCCGAAAAGCCTGTGTTATAAGGCACTTTCTTTGTTGCAGTTAACAGGTGAAGTGAACACTTACATGCACCATTTTGTCCTACCTTGTAGGACATGAACTGAGAGAGCTGTTGAATGCTTAAATGCTGCTAAGTATACTCCTCTTGATCCTTCCACTTACAAGAGGGATTGAAAGTCTTTGCTCATCTTTGGCAGTTGTAATTCCCCTTGTGCTACCTGGTCAGAACAGCTAGAACTGAAGCACCATCTAAATGGTTCAAAGTAAGACTTAAGTCATGATGAATGAAATGCAGTATGTGCATGACGAAAAACGGGCAGGTGATCCACACCTTAATGATCTTATTCCTCTTTGTACCTTAGGCCCATATTACCTGTAAAAGTACCCTGGAATTTTTATAGCTTCTCTTGTCAGTTGCACTGGTGGGTTTCTGTTTGTCTGCCTGAGGGAGGTGGGTTTGAAAGTCTGGAACAGATTAAACATTTTCTGCTCTAAGAGCTTTGTGATCATACTTCTGAACTTCGAAAAGTTCGTACATTTTGCAGTCTGTAACTCAGCGCATTGTTTATTTAACCTAGGGGTGTATTTCATTATTTAAAGTCTCATATTAGTCTCTTAAATGTTCAAGTAGGGATTTGTGCGTAAGTCCACAGCTATCAGATATTGATATATATAGTCTTATTGCAAGATAGAGTTGTCCAGGTTTTTCAAGTATTCTCTTTGTAATATCTGTGAATCTAGGCACCCAAATATTTCTTCACTACAGGTATTCTAACCAGTGCTAGCCATCTATACATTTGGTATTTATTGTAGCCTTAGTTAATATCACAGCTGTTATAATTAATGTGTAATCACAAAAGGAGTTCAGAGTAGTAGGAATGTCCGTACTTAAATAAGAATGAACTTAAATCAGTTGTTTTCCAGTGTCTTTTACAGTATTAAATTTCTGAGGTTTAATTTTTTTTTCTTAAACTTGTTAGAGGCCATATTTGCAGTAGTGGGCTACAGGATGAAAACTTAATCTTTTTTTAACTGGCTACCTCTGGTACTCCTTGTAAGATACCTTCTGTATCCAAATATCTTCTGTATTTGTGCTGGTTTGTTCACTTCAACCAAAATAAGACTATGAGCTGCAGCTGTTATGTGTTGCTCTGTCAGAGTCCAATACTCTGACCAGGTTGTTTTAGATATTCCATGCATGGAGGGTGTAATGACCAAATTTACTCATTTGAAGACAGTTGATGTTACGCAGGATTTCTGATTTAGCAGAGTGATACAAAACACACTGAAAACTCAGTACATATGCAAGTTACGCTTGGCAAAATACAGCAATTGCAATACATGGTTTAGTCACAATACCAACGTGATTCCCATTACCAGTCTCTATCTCACCGTCACAACGCTGAGCATCCCCAATTGCCGGGAAAGAATACGTGGGTTGAAGCCAGCTCCAGCCCCTTGCTCTCTTCCAGATTCTTTTGTTAGTTGTCTAGTTTTTGTACTCTGCCTGGGCTGAGCCACATATTCGCTCCCCCCATGCTGGTCTGGCTAACTCTGGGAGGTATTCACACTCTTTTAATGAACTCAAGGAGAAACATTTACACCACCAGTTGATCCACTCAACTGTTGATAGCTGTTTATCTAAAACGAAGGCCACCCTTTGTGTTGAGACAAGGTCAGCTTCTTTGCATTATTCCCTGAGCTTCATGGGCACATCCCCATCTCCACCAGCGATCTTCCATTCTAGGGGTTTGTTCAGTGAGTCACATTCCAACCCTTGGGGTTTAGTCTGTCACAAGCTCTGTGACATGTAACACTGGTTGCGGACTGGAAGCACCTTGTGTGGATCATTCTGTAAATGCAGAACCATCGGCTAAGTCCTGAACCAAAGAAATTATTTAAACATAAGATAAAGGGTGGGGAAGACGGATACAGGCTGATGGGGGAGGGGGGAATGCAGGGAAATGAGTCAGTAAGTAAAACTGTTTCAAGTGGCATTGTTCGGATGTGGTTCATGATGGAATTTGTCTTGGCTCTTCCAACAAGTATAAGAAAAGCAACAAGGTCTGTCGGTGTGTTATACATATTTGGACATTTACTGCTTTTGCTCTCTCCTAGGATAAAGTAATGAGCCACTATTTCTTGAAACAAGCAGGTTTGGTTAAATGGTTGCTTAAAGAGTAATTTCCATATATGGTGTCATCATGTGAAAAAATATAAGAAGAAAGGAGTTGTTTCTATGGAAATAGAGGTATTTCCTTTAAATAAGATTAAAAAAAATTTCTCACAGGGAAAGTTTTGCAAATACTCTGTGATAAAGGACATAAATTTAGCAAAGTATAAACTTGCCTATATCATTAAACATATTTGTCTTTTATCCAAATCAAACCATAGCATCACACCAGCTACTATAAAGAAAATTAACTCTGTCCCAGCCAGAGTCAGTACATGAGTGCAACAAAGTGCTTAAATCTATTTACTAGGTTTAAGGATCAAGAATTTTTTTGGTTAAGAAAAACTCTGCCTTAAAGTTCCTAATGTATTAATGGCCACGGTATGCCTCCTGGACATGGGACAGCGGTGGGAGGAATGCATTAGTTGTGTCCATTTCCAAGGTATTTTGGAATGTCTTCTCTGCTTGGCCTCTTGTTTTCCAATCCCAATCATTAATATCCAATGTAGTTTTACTTTGAAGCACTATGGGTTCTGACAAATATAGAGGTAAATACTAGCTAACAGTGTTTGCTACTGGCACTTTTGCATTTCCAGCATTTCCATAAACTAAACTTACTAATTGAAAACTGAGTTCTTAGTTATTGACTCTTTTACTTTTTGAGCTTTCTTTGATTAACAGCCACCAAATACTTGCTCTGAGCAAAATCCAATACCAATCGTTAATATCCAATGTAGTTTTACTTTGAAGCACTATGGGTTCTGACAAATATAGAGGTAAATACTAGCTAACTACTTTTGCTACAGTCCCTTTTGCATTTCCATAAACTAAACTTACTAATTGAAAACTGAGTTCTTAGTTATTGACTCTTTTACTTTTTGAGCTTTCTTTGATTAACAACCACCAAATACTTGCTCTGAGCAAAAATGTACAGGTGTTGAAAGAAATTTCCAATAATGTAGTAGTGTAGAAGTGGTTCTTGCGATGCATCTGGCAATAAAATATGATTGTGCTGTAGTTAGTGATTTCTTCTGAAGAAAAATTATCCCTTTGACCATGCATATTTCTTGGAAATCTTGTTTTTGACTCCAGCAATCCAAGATTCGAATTTCAGTGTTACAATTTTGTAAAAGAATCTTTCAGTCTGTCTTATCTTTGTTTTATAATCAGTGCTCCTTTGGTTTATTTTTTCCCCTTTTTGCTGTAGATTTATTACTGCTTTTACAGTTTAGTTATACTGAATGCAATATATTGTAATAAAGGTAATCATACAATAGGAAAATTGCATTTTATTTTTTAACAGGTAGAGCCTTAGAGCAGGGCAGGTGGTTTTATTGATCCCCTTTTCAGTATCTAATACCTGTTTTATGAGAGTGTATGCACTTCAGTCTTCTGTTTCAGAGTCCCAGTTCAAGAACTTATTTCTGCATATGTGAAGCTTATTGATATGAAAAAAACCCTGTAACTTTTTGTGTAGTTCAGATCTGTCCTTAGGTTTCCATTAGGCATTTTTGGTCCACAGAGTTTCCTGCAGAGTTTCCAATTTAGTTTCCTCTGAGTGGTTTTGAGATGCACAAACTTTAATCCTATAAATGTGAACGAGCATGCAGTAAGTAGGGAGAATACAGATTTATTTCAATGGCACAGTAATGTTCCCAACCATAATGTTATGGAAAATGTGGCCATCTAAGAAGGGTTTTTGAGAAGACTCAGTGAAAAATAGACTTTCTATTAACCATAGTTTTCTGACACCATGAAGTCTGAGTTTCAAGTAGAAAAAAGGAAAAAAAAGTCATTACGGTTTCAAATTATAACTTTTAAATACATACATTTTCACTACCATTCCCCAAGTGTGGAAATTGGGGAGCTGTGTGTTATAGATTTGAGATATTGTATCTTATGATAGTTTTGCATATTGCTTTGTATGTAATACATACGGCAGTAGTTATTCTTGCCAGTATAATAATTTAAAATACAAAGTGAAAAAAGATGTGGTGGAGATAATACTGACTTCTGGGTGCTTGGACAAACTTGATGTCAATATTTTTCAGTAATGCATTGTTTGAACTTCTATGTGAAGTACATAGGTGTATATATACTTTGTGAGATTTGGTTATAATAAAAAAACTAGTGTGACATTTGCTGCAAGATATTCCCAGTTAAAATTTTTTTCAATTTCTTTTGATAGTCATATGGTTTAGTTTTGGGTAGTCCTGTGAGGAACAGGGAGTTGGACTCGATGATCCGTATGGGTCCCTTCCGACTTGAGATATTCTGTGATTCTGTGATTTTCCTTTGGTTTCCCTAATCAAAAATCTTGGCTTTTTCCCAAAAGGTTAACCGTAAAAGATAGTTATTCTCCAAAAGAATTAAATAAAGGGACTAATATTTGTATATAGATTATACTAATATATACTCAAATGTGATTTTCAGTTGTTGATTATTAGATATCATAGTGAAAAATAACTCAGCTGATTAACTCAATTTTTTTATTACTCATTCAAGTGAGCAATATTGCATGAATCTCAGGCTTCTATTTTAATGGGAAATAGTAATTACACATTTCAATATATTAAGTTACACTGTTCTTAGTGTTGGTACTGCGGTACCACTTTAAATCTGTTGGTTAAGTCTAAAACTTGCTCCAAATATCTTCTGTAAAAGTATGCTATTTCTAATACCGATGTAATTGCTTCAGAAACTGATTCAGAGTTTACCAAATAGTTATTGCTATGATGCAGTAGTTAATAACTTAGAAGGTTTTCTTGTTCTGTCAGGTAAAAGACTGTCATTGTAGACCCTATAAGTGTATCTAAAAAGTGAATATAATAAAACTAACTGTTGTTTCATCATTATACCCACGTGTTGGTCTAACGCAGTAATTAAATGGAATTCCTGTGTTGGTTCATCGGGCTAAGTCTCTTGTTTTCTATTTATTTAGTTAGTTATTCCTAATGGTTATACCAGGTTCTAAGTTTGTTGGGGTTTTTTTGACAGGTTACAGAAATCATATCTCTTCTGAGATGTGATTTTAGATAAACAATGTAGATAATTAACTGTTTTGTATTTCTGAGGTCTATAAAATACAAATATTTTTGTCCTAGATGTTATATAAAGGTAGTGCACACTTAAGTAGCCCTAATAAGTACTTCTTAGGTTTCAAATAAACCTCTGTAGTAAAATTCTGTCACTCTTCAAATAGATTTCTTTACAGGTGATCTCCTATGGTATTTAAAATATTTTAATAAGACTCCTTCAGGGGAAACTGCATTTACATTGAAAACTCTGAGGACACTTACATGAACACATTCTCTTTGTTCTTAGGCTTTTAGAAATCACATGTCCTTAGTCTGTTTTTCTTTAGAATATTTTCCATTAGAATAGTTTATTTCATATATTGAATGCTAAAGGTTTCTGTTATGCAATTTTCATTATTAATTCATGCTCAAATCTACATTTAGAGCTTTTTGACTAATCTGAGAAATGGATACAGTGTTTTCATGTACTACTCTTTGTCTTCTATTTGCGTTTTAGTTTGGAAATTTCTCTAATTAAGAAAAATGAGGGACCCCGGTGGCCAGAGCTAATAGTTGGTGACACAAGAGGGGAATTCATTATGGACTCTTCCCAATGCTCTGAAATAACTGAAAGCCTGATGCATCTTACTTCTGAAGTAATGGTAAGGAATTGAAATTAAAACATTTAAAGTTCTTGTAGATTTGCATGTTGTCTTTTCTTGGTATCCTAATTTGCACTTCATTGACATAGCTCATCAGTTCATTTACTATTCAGAATCCTAACTCTACATTCATTTTTAACTGAAACTGTTACCAAACTGATGCTACTAGAGTTGTGAATATACTTTTAACAGTAATACCGTCTTCATGGGGGGCTGAATTTAGCTTACATGATAGCATCTGTGCACCAAAACAGAAGTCTGATTTAATATTGAAGATAAATTTTGTTCCCACCACTTATGATGTGGCAGTTTGTTTTAAAGCAGTTGATTTAAGTAATTTTGAAGGATGTCTGTTTCTTTTTTATCAATAGGTTAGCAATACTTTTATACTGTCTTCCTAGGGATACTGTACTTGACTTATAGACTGTGAGTGTAAATAACATTTTTAAAAAGAAAATTTAGGAATGCATAAGCATGACTCGTGAACTTTCTGGCATTATTGTTATACAGGGAGTCTACTTAAAATAAAATGTAAGTTTTGACTGCTGTTTGCTTGATACTTCCCCATTTGGTTTAATTAGAAAATAGCATCTCATCTAAAACTTGTGAAGTGTGACTCCCTATGGGTCTTGATATATTAGTTTTGGATTATTACTTTTTTTTAAGAAGGCTGAAAAGTGTTATTAAAATAAATTCTGTTTAGTGTTCAAATTGATTTCCCTCCTTTCTCCCCCACTATTTGTGGGCAAGATATTGTAGTACATCTTTTAACCATAGATTTATTGAGAACTTCAAATTTCTTTTCTTTTGTAACTCTTACTGAGCTTAAAGTGATGATTTTTTTTTGTCACAACTTTTCAGCTTCTGTGCAATAATGATAATGTAAAAAAAAAAATCTTTCCTTAGCTAACTTCATTTAAATAAATGTTATGTATTTTGTTATACTGCAACTTTAGCTACATACGTATAATAAAGGCATGAATTCTTTTTGGTCATCTCAATTGCTTATGGTAATGATGTTTACCTGGAAAGTTTTTTAAAATCCAGCTGATGAAACAGTAAACCAGAGGCCATCAAGAATGCTTGGTAGAGGAGAGGTGAACCCCAAAGTCTAGCCTCTAAAGAGACAGATACCCTGTTTTAAGTCTTGTGCATTAGCCTGCAGTATATGATACTTAATTTTCCTGGTTCCTGTCATTTAAGGATGTTTCTTTGTTATCTCTTCATGTTTGTTTTCTTTGAACTTAAATTGTCTTAGCAATTAAAAAAAAAAAATTGTGCTGATCTCTTCATTTTGTGGACCGAACCAAAATAAAAGTTCTTAATAATCAGCTGAAATGGATGAAGAAAGGAGCACAGGAACTCAAGAACTTCTCCCTGTCAGATGAATGAGTCAGTGCCCTGTCTAATCTTTCCTTACACATTCTGTTTGGCCTCAGCTTTCGGCTTATATTAGTTGTCAAGATGGTGTCTTTTTTTCGTGCAAGAAGCAACGTTAATTCATACTAACAAGGAAGTATATATTTTTGCCTTCTGTTAAATAAAGGTCCCTTTCTGTTATTGTTAAATTAGTTCTTTAAATGTATCACAAAGGTAACAGAGCTTGATTGTTTTGAAAATTATCCAAGGAAGATATCATTAGCAGAAGTAAGCTGTTTGTGTATGCAGTATTGTTTTATCTTGCTCTCGCATTACTGGTAAAAGTGACGGTTTTTCCTTTCTTTGACTTGTGGGATGTGAGAAAATACATGTTTTCTTGTTTTGAGTGCCTTGAAAAATATGCATAACAACATTATTAATTTAAAATAATTATTAGCAAAGCTAAAAGGAGGCATGTACTTAGACCTTACAAAATTAATTAATTCATTTTTAATAGCATTTCCAATGGCAATCTGAAAGGAGCTTACACTGATGTAAATTTACTAAACCTGCGTAGGTTTTCAGAATTGTATACTTTTGCTACTTACAGAAGGGAATTTATTGTCCGTGTTTTAGTGGCTTATGTACCTTTCCTTAAACTGAAATGGATTTTGTTGTACCTACCACTCATGCTATCCTCCACAACAGAAATGGTTCTCTTCATTTTGAATAAGTACATAATAGCTTGATGCAAATGATTCTTCCTGTTCTGTTGAAAAGGGATTTTTATATATTATATAAATATATATGCTGTTGTTATGAAAAGGGATTTTTATATATTATATATTCAGGAGCTCAGGTTTTCAGTGTAGTTCGTTGTCTTTTTATTTCAGAATCCAAACCCTGAAAAGGAAAACCCACCTTGTAATGCTCAAGAATTAGAAGAATGTGATGCTTTTCTTGAAGATAGTGCAAGCTTGTGCAGATTTGATGGTGATACCTTGAAAGTCACTCATGTAGTAAGTGCTGCAAATTCTTATAGAGAAATATTCTTAAACATCTTTTTTATATGCAAGTTGAGTTATATTATCAGAACAAAACTCTGTGTAAACTCTTGAAACCACATAAATTTCTTCCATAATGTAAAATGGCAGTAGCAACAGAAATTATCAACCAATATGTGTTCTTCAATGTCATTTTAATGTAAAAACAAGGCTCCTTTTATTCTGATTTAAAAAATATATATACTTTCACAAGTGAGCCATTTGAAAAAGCAAAGCTATGTCAGAATGATGATAAGAAAGGGGTCTTTTTCAGTGGCACAAAATTCTTCTAGATTCCTTAGCTTGCATTTTTCTCAGTAACTTTTCAGATAGCCTGGTAGAAAGGTGATCCTTTTTACTACGGAGCTGGAGCATAGATCACTTTATGATACTTGTTTGTCAATCACACTGGAAGGAAGAGATTGTAAGCAAAATGCTTCAATAGGAGGCTTGATCTGGGCTGTAAAGCAACCTTGACTAACAGTAAATTAGGACTTGATTGGGTCCATTGGCTAAAGCGGGAAACAAAATAATCATATGAAAGTGTCACAGATAAGTTGTCATCTTGGGGTTTTTTGGGGGTTAGGGGTTTTTTTTCAAGATGTCTCTACTAAGCTTGTAATAAACATTGGTGTTGCACCTCATCACTACCTTGTGTCACGCAAAGTATATATAGGATAACCTGTTTTGTACAGAAAATGTCAAAGTTACAGGATAAGATTTTGAATCAGTTCATAATTTCCCGTTTCCTCAGAAAAGCTCTAGAAGAAGTCTTAAGTCTGTGTCTTGCAGATCTTGGTTTGTTCTTTTTTTTTTTAAAAAAAAAAAATTTGTATCTTTTTTCCTTTGGCAGTACAGATACATATGTATATGTCTGTATGTGTATGCATATATATATGTGTGTGTATATATATGCCTGTACATGCATCTATGCTGCCAAAGAAAAAAAAGATTAATTTTAAAGTCTAGCATGCTGCACTGACAAAGTCGTCTGTTTTGTGGATACAGTGTGATAGGTAACATTTGTCAGAAGATAATATCTGTAATTGGTAGGAGGACATTTTATAGCAACTCGGTTCAAATGGATTTTAGCTGTTCAGTGATGTGTGGTAAGAGAACAAGAGACAGCAGGTGTAAGTAGAAACGAGGTTCAAACTGGATGGAAGGAAAAACTTTCACACCATGATTGTAGCATGGATCGGGTTGCCTAGTAAGGATGTGCAGCCTCTGTCCTTGAGGTTTTCAGGACCAGACTGGGTAAAGTTCTGAATAACTTATCCTTCAGGACAAGAAACAGTAGTTCAGGCCAAGAAGTCTGTGCCCCAGAGACATTTCATAGACCAGGAGGAACGTGATATCATGGGATCAAGAAAGGCAGATCTGATGTATACTGCTTTCTAGCAGGCAGCAAGACATTGTGGAGCAAGTTTGAACTCCAGGGTGTTTGTGAAGAGCTCTTAAAAATGGGTGGCATTAAATACATTAGCCTTTGGAGTACTTTTAAGCATTATGGTCAAAGCACAATTACTGTGGGTAGGAAATTTTCATGCATGTATAACCTGCTCTAGCTGACCCTACTTTGAGCAGTAAGTATTGGACTAGAATATCTCCAGAAGTCCCTTCCAACCTCAACTATGTGATCTTGTGTTTTTCCTCCTTGTTGGAGAACATAGGAGCCTGAATATTTCAGTAGATTTTTCACCATACAGGAATATATTTTCACTTTGATTTAGTTCTTCTTTCAATTTTTTTTTTTTTTGTTAGCAGTTCAGGGGCCTATTCCTTCAGAAGTGTGGCTGATACAGCTTTTCACCTTTGTAGTAAACCATCATCATCAGTATACAGTTGTGTATGTCTTTTTGCTCTTAAGTTGGAGAGAACTTTGTAAAATGTGTGTCCAGAATCTTAGAGAATTTAAGACCATGAAATATTTATGTAGAATATTTCCCACCTTGAGTTATAATTTAAGGATATAAAACATTGATGATGTAATGATATCTTTCTGTAAAGAGATTTGGTTCTATTTTTCTTGACATTTTCTAGTGCATTTCAATGGCAATGATCCAGCTGAAATAAATAGGTTTGACAGCCAGCAATCTCTGTCAAATGTATTGCTATACTGGCCTGTTCTTGTGTGGCAAAATGATGTCTGTCTCCTCCAGCTCAAATGCAGTTATTCAGTCTCTCCCATAGAGAAATATTTGCTTTATTAATATAAATTCTTTAAGTTAGGTTAACAGTGGCCTAAACTCCAGTGCGTTGTGTTTTCAATTGTCCTGGTTTCAGCAGGGATAGAGTTAATTTTCTTCCTAGTAGCTGGTACAGTGCTGTGCTTTGGATTTAGGATGGGAACAAAATTGATAAGGCACCGATGTTTTAGTTGTTGCTAGGTAGTGCTTACACTAGTCAAGGACTTTTCAGCTTCCCGTGCTCTACCAACTGAGAAGGCTGGAGGTGCACAAGAAGCTGGGAGGGGGCACAGCCAGGACAGTTGACCCAAACTGGCCAAAGGGACATTCCATACCATGTGACGTCATGCTCAGTACATAAACTGGGGGAAGCTGGCCGGGGGGGCCGCTGCTCGGGGATGGGCTGGGCATCGGTTGGCGGGTGGTGAGCAATTGCATTGTGCATCACTTGCTTTATATATTCCATTATATTCTCTCCCCCATCCCACTGGGGGCGGGGGGAGTGAGCAAGCAGCTGTGTGGTCCTCAGTTGCCAGCTGAGGTTAAACCACAACACCAAGCTGTCAGAAACTAGAGATGCATGATGGACAACGTTTTTTGCTGTGGAGGGGAGGGGCTTTGTCAGGTGAAGTATTTGCTACCTAAAACCACTATCTTGTTTTTGGAACTTCTTGCAGTAGCATCTACAACATAAAGTTTGCCTTCCATGTTATGTAGATTAATATGTATACTACCATATGCTTAAGTTGTGTATTATGCATCCTGTTAAAACCAGTTGCAGGCATGTATGACAAAATGCACAAAAATTAGTAGTTGAAAAAATGCTGAAAGATGCCTGAAGTACAAAGTGGTGCTGTGTGCTTGCAGTGGGGAAACGCAGGCATCCCAATACTTAGTAAAATTGGGACGGCTTAAGGGAAGAGATGCTACTTGGTTTTAGATACAAAAGAAAAGAGTATTCCCAGTGATTTGTGGAGCAAGGAGAAAATAGGAAATGGACTACGTAAACCTAGGTCTTTGACTAGCTAATTGCAGTAGGTAATTTCAGAGAGCAGTTGATTTGTGGCAGGAGACCTCTGGTTGATAGGTGGATTATGGAAACACAACAGAAGAACTTCCGTTCATTTTCTACTAGCTGACATAAAAGATCACTCTTCCCTTGCTTGTATGCCTATATAGAAGCATGAGTCTACCTTCTCAGTAGGTGCCAGAATGACCTCTGTTAACTAAAACTGAATGTCATTCTGTGAAATACATCACAGATGCTTACATCTGAGCTATGGGAATGTGGGAAGCATGTCATGTATTTATGCATGTCCGTTGGAGTGGAGATGCTCTAGTGGTGATTGACAAGAGAAGAGGTAAGGTCTTCCTTAAGAGCTTTTCTGGTTCTGGATGCTTTGCCTGAATAACTGTTTCAGTTTGAATAGTTCTTTATTGCAGTTGAGTTTCTCATGTTCTGACAACACTCACAAAACTTCTTTTGCGTTTGGGCTGTCTGTCCAAGTGGTCTGTATCTCTGTTGCATGTGAAATAGGCAACTAACCCAGCTTAAATAACATTTATTTTATTTTTCAAAACACTGTAAATTACTTCTGGGGGAAAAAAGTAATCAAAGTTCAGAATTACTTTGCTGAGGTGCTGTAGATTTAAAATATTTCTCTACATATTCCACAAATTTACTGAAACCTGGAAAAAAAAACTTAATTCCTTTAGTCTGTTCAAAACTGTTTGCGATGTAAAAAATAACAATAGCTAAGTAACATGACACTTGTACTTACCATATATGTAATAACATTATTGTTAGCACACATGTAGATTTAAATTGCATGTTGGGTGTTTTGGGTTTTTTTACTTAACTACAGATGTTTATTAAAACTAAAATTTTGATGTTTGTAAAACTATCACATTTCTGACATGGTACTTCTGAAAAAATATTTTTTTTTTTTAAATTTTGATGTGTGTTTTACTAGATACGGGATTTACAAAATACTAAGTGCTTGACCCTTAAAAATATGTGTAGCTGCTGTTGAAAGACATCTACAAATTATTCAGTGCTGAGTGCTGTAAGGCTTACTTCTTGTCGTATATAAACAATTTAATTTATATACTGTTGTACCTTTGGCTTAAAATGACTGTTGGTGACTTCAAAGTTACTTTTGTGCTAATGTTGGGATTTTACTGTGGTGCCGTAAACATTTGTGCAGTTTTTTGATTCTCTGTGAAACTACTTCCTCAGTTCAAAGAAGTTTCAGAAGAGTTGATTGCTCAAAGTCCGACCCTCTCCCTTAGCTAAAGGACTGATGCATGCTGAAGTGAGCTGTGGATGAGAAGAGTGCTCTGTCTGTTACCCATGTCAAAGATGCTTAACTTCTTTCAGTTGAGATACAACAGTAAGAAAGGGGAGACACCTACACATGGAGCCTCAGCTCATAGAGCTGTATTTGGGTGTTCATACCCAGGTGTTGGCAGCTGGGGATCTGCAGGGGTGGCCTCTGCAAGAAGAGACTGGGGCTGCCCTGTGCCAGACACAGCTGGTTCCAGACAGCTCCAATGGATCCACTGTAGGACACAGCTGAACCCATCAGGGATGCTGATGGCCCCTCAGGGAAAAAGTATTTAACAAAGGGTAAAAAAATGCTGTGCAGCAGCAGTGAGAGGGAGGAGTGAGAAAAATATGAGAGAAACAGCACTGCAAACACCAACGTCAGAGGAGGAAAGATGAAGAGGAGGTGCTCCAGGTGCCAGAGCAGAGATTCCCCTGCAGCCCGTGGGGAAGACGATGGTGAGGCAGGTTGTCCCCCTGCAGCCCATAGAGGACCATGGTGGAACAGATATCCATGCAGCATCCTGTGGAGCACCCCATACCACAGCAGGTGGATGTGCCCTGGAGGAAGTTGCAGCCAGTGGAGAGCCCACACAGGAGCTGTGGCCCGTGGAGAGGAGCCCACGCAGAAGCAGGTTTTCTGGTAGGACCTGTGGCCTGTGGAGGACCCATGCTGGAGCAGTCCATTCCTGAAAGACTGTACTCTGTGGAAAGGACCCACGCTGGAGCAGTTCTTGAAGAACTGCAGCCTATGGGAAGGACCCACGTTGGAGTGGTTCATGAAGGACTGTATCCTGTGGGAGGGATCCCACACTGGAGCAGGAGAACAGCATGAGGAGGAAGGAGCAGCAGAGAGGAAGTGTTATGGACTGACCCCAACCCCCATCCCCTGGGGGGTGGGGTGATCTGCACCACGCTGGTAGTGGGGGAGGTAGAGCAGTCAGGAATGAAGGAGTGAAGTTGAACCAGGGAAGTGCATGGGGAAGGTTTTTTTTAATCTTTGTCTTTGTTTCTTATCATCCTACTTTCTTTTTAATTGGTGGTATATTAAATTAATTTTCCTCAAGTAAAGTCTGTTTTGCCCTTGATGGTAGAATTGGTCAGTGATCTCCCTGTCTTTATCTTGACCCATGAGCTTTTACATCTTATTCTCTCCCCGGTCCTGCTGAGGAGGGGGAGTGAGAGAGCAGCTGGGTGGGTGTCTGGCAGCCAGCCAAAGTCAAACCCACCACAGTAACTCAGTCCATATCCAGTTTAAAAGACAGCAGCTGTTTGGCCTGTAAGCACAGCCAAAGTTCAGGATTAGTCATAGACTATGCTACCTCATATTCAACAAAGCAGGTATGGATTATGGGAGGAAAGAGCTTAAAAGTGAGGAGAGATGAAATCTACAAGGAGTTATGGGGAAGAGAAGCTTAGGGAAATGTAATTCCAGTCTGTAGGAAGCCACGCTTCATTTCCTTCTGGTGTTCCAGGAACAACTTGCTTTTCTCACCTGGGAGGTGGGGGAATAAAGTAGAAGTAATAACGATGACTTTTGGGGAGGTTAGCTGTCCAGCAGCAAAACAGAGGTCACATTGATGAAAAACAGCTGAGGAGGCTGGGCCTTCTAGCAGGTTCTTCTGGTCAAATCATACTGTAACTTACTGTCTGTGACCCTGTGGAGTGTCATCGCACCAGTGTGTCTGATGCGCAATCCCCATGATTCACTTTTTCCCAGTGTGAGAGGCAGGTGCCACTGTGAGCATGCAGTAGGGGCCCATGGAGTGAGTCTTGAGCTGAATGTATGAGAAGACTCAACTTGTTCCCTTTCTCAAGTTGTTTCTCATTCATTCTGCCTATTTTTCCTGTGCTCCTTAGAGGTCTGTTCCACTCACTGCTGTCGGTGCCATCTGCCTGACCTCTGCTGACTTCTAGCCTTTCTCAGATGTTAGGAAGTTTGAGGGACTGAGACTTCATACTTTCTGTTTTGCTCAGCACATTGCACCAATACGATACCTGCCTCCTGTTTTCTGCTTTGTTCTCCTTAAGGCACCTTATTAGTGGAGCTCTTGATGTTATCTTTATTAGTGTTTCTTTGCCTCTTGGTTGCTTAGAAAATTATTAACCCTCATTTCATGATTGCATCTGGCCCTAATGGAGACTGAGAACTATTTAATCTCTTTTGTATTTTTAATACAACTGAAGAATTTGTATGCCTGTTGAATGGTGTAGTAATGGAAGGCTGTTTTGAAGTTGAGCCATTAGCCTTGAACTTAATCAGCTGAAATAATTGTATTAGTTCTGTCATGGACTGTATAACCTCGAGTAAACAAATTTCTGGGTCTCAGTAGCTGTTGTTTCTGTCCACTGGATCTTATGTTAAGATTAAATTAAGGTCTTCAGGACAGAGACCGCATCCTGTGACATTTGTACAATGATAGCATAAAAGGCTTGCAGTTCATAGTTAATTGCCACAATGTGTGTAATAAAGAGTGCTGTGACAACTGTTTGAGAACGATTAGTCAACAAATGTCAGCATCCGAAATGCTTATTGAGGAGTAATATATCGTACCATGTATTAGGGTGTTATCCTGCATGTTGCAGTTGCAGGCATAGCTTCTGAATATAAAAAATAATTCAAATATATTTGTTCATCTGGTAACGTGAACAATGTGGACCAGCTCTGAGTACAAACAGGAATTCCTCAGTGTTCTTTCTTGATAGACCTTAAGGGAATAGATTGTTCTTTCCTTTTTGAGCATTTGCTAGTCATAGTGCTACATTAAAAGTATTGCTATTAAATTCCTTTAGAAGGCTTTACATAGAAAACTCAAAATATATGTTGTTTTATTGTTTATTCTTATTATTGTTTATTCAGGTAGCAGGATATGTGTGTCTTGTCTGTCTTATGTAATTGGTCATTCCTGGTGGATAGAAGTGGTTATTGAACTGGAACAGGTTGCCCAGAGAGGTGGTGGATGCCCCATCCCTGGAAACATTGAAAGTCAGGTTGGACAGGGCTCTGAGCAACCTGATCTAGTTGACGATGTCCCTGCCCACGGCAGGGGGGTTGGACTAGATGACCTTTAAAGGTCCCTTCCAACCCAAACTATTCTACAATTGTATGATTCTATGAATGTTTTTGGTGATATAGACATATTTGATGAAGAGTGTGCTTCTTAATTAATTAATCTGAAATTCAGTAATTACGTGATTGTGAGTACATAAAAAATTGTTGAAATTTCATAATTTTAGTATTCTAACTAATCCTTGTTCCAGTGGTTACCAACTTTTACTGCAGAGGGACAGTATTTCCTTCCCTGTTGGCACTGCAGAAAACCAGACGTGATTACTTAGAGAGAATCTTTTCTTAACATCAGAAGTTGTAGGTTAGGATCCTCTGTCCTAGAAAACCATTTCTACACAAAACACATTCCTATTTGCTTGTGTAGTGGACATAATGTTTCCCTAAATACTATCCCAAGAAACTTAATTGCATCTGCTTGAAATGTATTAGCTACCTGTAGTGTATTGAGCTGTTGATCAGTGGGATGCAGCATAATGTATTCAAACGTTTTGTCAACTAACAAACATGAAGCTGTCGAACATCTAACTTTGGCAGTATGTGTGACAGAATCTGCTATTTATGCTTTGAATCAATATTTTGTATTTCTTTGTTTTATTTTCAGATTAATCTTGGAAGCAACCAGTATCTTTTCTCAGTTGTTGTGGATCCCAGAGAAATGCCATGCTTCTGCCTGAGGCATGATGTTGATGCTCTTCTCTGGCAGCCCCACGCTGACCAACCAGAGAACATGTGGGAACACATTGCAACTTTTAATGCTTTAGGTAGGAAATTAACTTGTGTCACACTCCTCCATCTGAGATTTTTCTACCTGAATACTCTTAGTATGGCTTCTGTTGATACTTCACTTAATTAAATTTGAATTGAAAGGTACTATAATTCTGTTGATAGCAGCATACTAGTTTAATTTTAGAAATATTAGAGCATAATAAATAAAATATTTATGCCTTGGGAGGAAAACAAGCCTTTTCAGACCATATACAGGATGCAAGCACAGTAATGCACAGTAAAAAGGAGAGTTCCTTGGGTAAGTGAACTCGAGTTAAAGACTTAAAAGCACAATCAGCACCTTAACACTCACACAGAAATCATCAGGGGAACAGCTGCAGTTCATTGATGACATGTCTAGGTGTATATATGCTTATGGTAAGATGTTTTAATGAGTGACCTTTAGATTTTTTTCTATCTCGTTGTCCCAGGTGACAAGTCTGAAGAATTGGACATGATTGTTCACTGTTTCTTCTGTTTATAAGAGCTAGGAGCATCAAATGATGCTGGTACATAGTAGGTTCAAAAGAAGCTAAAAGAAATACTTTATATATGTACATTTAAGCTATGGAACCCTCTGCCACAAAACTTTGTGGGTATAGGAAGTTTTCATTAATTTGAAAATAAAATAAAAAAAATCATCATGACAGGAAAAATCAATCAAAAGTGTAACTGTGTCAGCTCTGGCTCAAGAAGCCCCTGACTGTTCTGAAATTACAGACTGCCAGAAAAGTAGAAAATGTGACTGTGAAGAATCATTAGTTAATTGCTGCATTCTTGCAATCAGGACTAAGAATTTGTTTTTACCCACTGTTGGAAGCAGAATCCTAAGGCTCAGAAGCAGAAAGTACTTTGAAAAGTATGGGTGCAAGAGTAAGAATTGCCACATCAGATCACACAGGATGGCCCATATAGCCCAGTATTGTACCTATCAAGTAAGAAACAGATAACTCAGTTTTTGTTAAAATTAATGTGGTCCAGAATTTGCTTCTGCTGTGACAACTATAGTCTTCATGTTCTCTAAGTGTTCTCTAGACCCATTCCTTCAATAATGCCATGTGTGACAATTTATTCCCTCTCTCCCCCAAATACATTTGTTGGACCACGCCACTCTCAGTCTGGGTCCAAAATGAAAGGGAAGATATTAGCTGTTTTATAGAGCTCACATAGGTTACCATAACACATAATTGGTTTTATTCTGAGTTTTTGCAATTTATTTAGTTTTGTAATATGAATGATTTTTTAATAGCCTGTTATTTTAACTTAAGATCAAATTAAGCTGTAAGCATCTTAACAAATTCTCTAACAAAAGAGATTAATTTCACAATTTGTTCTTTGTTTACTCATTTCAAATTTCATTATGCTGGGGGAAAAAGCTGATGATAAGGATTAAGATGTTTTTTCAAATTACTATTAGTTTCAAGTTTCTATGCTGACTTTGTAGTACTGTTTTAAGAATGTGTTGCTATTGTTTTGGAAATAACAGGAAGGAAATTATGATATCTTTGAGCTTTTTGTACCTAAGGTGATAAAAACCAACATTGTTCTTCTACTTCTTTCTCCTTATTGTACTATCATTTTACAGTATTATATTGAAGTTTACACTTCTGTACTAATCTACTTCACCTTTTATGTGCCAGAGGTGATGTAAGTCATCAGCTTGTTTATCTACAACCAAATTTAGAAGTACTTTGCGAGAGCTAGTAGTAAAAATTAGTATTTTCTAGATTAAAAGGCTAGTTTTCAAAAACCTACAGTAGTCATTCTATTGACCAAAGCAATGGCAGTAGCCCTATTTCCTTCTTCCTCTGCTTGTTGGAATTAGTTTTTAACAAGCTATGCAAAGATGATGATTGAAAAATTAATATTTTTCAGTTCAAGTCTTAGCCTGAAACCTAAGGAAGGA